CTTAAAATATACTTCCTGTAAATTTAAAAAATTGATTATTATGTACTCAAAACAAGAATTTATTTTCTTTTGAAAAATATAAAATTTTATCAAAGAAACGACTTTATACATGTAATAAGCAAATCAAATTTTTTTTAATTTGATGATCTTAATTGTTAAGTATTGAACTTTAGCAGAATGCAGAATACATTTTAAATAAATGATGCTTATGATGAACTTATGATAGATTTATGAACGGATATATGAACTTTTAAAATATTTTAAACAATTAGTGATTATAATATTTAAACATAGTACAATATCTTTTTGTGTTTAATATTGCGCGTAATGTTAAATGTCGTTTGTCAGTATTTAAGAATAAAAATGGAAGAAATAAAAATATATTCTATTCTTCTTGTATAATTATATTTAATTAATTATTCAGATTTACATAATATACTCTTATTATAAGTATATTTTGTTTAGAGGAAGTATTTTGAATGAAATTTTGATGTATTATCACAATTTTAAAATTATGTATATTACTTTGCTTTCTGAAAAAAATTTTGATTTAAATTATTAGAACAATGTGTGATTATAGCAACAGTATTCTTTTAATTTTACATTAGGTAATATGTTGATTAGTTTTTCATAATTATCTTTTCAGAGCGCAGTAGTAATTTGTTATTGTATGATAGCTGCGAATGCAGAACCGCCTCTGAACAGTATGTATTGCTATTATGTTGCTTTCTATATTCCTGTATTTTCGTAAAAATCTTGCATGCATATTAAAATTAAAATTGAGAACATTATTTTATAAAAATAACGCAACACTATCGATAATACGTTACTTTTATAAACTAATATTTTTTGTAAAAAGTAATACAATATCGTTATTGTTACTTAGAAAGTGTATAATTCGTTATGTAAAGTTAAATATTAGATTTAAAAATTATATTATTTAATAATCAATATTAAAAAGAACTCTAAGTCAATTTTTATACATATAATAAGCTTTTCTTTATACTAAACTTATGTAATATAAATTTTTGCATAATTCTTCATATTTATTATTGACTATATATTGATTTTTAAGAATTTACATTCATAAACATAAATTTTATTAAAAATTTATAATACACATTATATGTATACTATTGATTTTTAATATTAACTATCGGAATGCAGCCTAAGATATAAAGTACAAAATATTTTTCAATATTTAAATTTCTATTCAAATAAAATATTTTTATTCAATCAAAAATAATATATTTATTGAATAGATAAAAAGACAACAGGGAATTAAAGCCGTTACTTTTATAAACGAATTCATTACTGTAAAATATAACGACGTTACATTTTACTATTACAGACAGAAAAAAAATAACAGCCGCTGTTTTAAAAAAGTAATAATAACGGTAATGATGTTACAAATAACTCTTCTTCTCGACCCTGACTAAGATTGTAAGATTAATCACAGTACTTCCCGGCAAACATTAACTAACAATAACTGTCATCATTTCTCATTCAATAAATATAACTGTTACATGTACATAAGCTACATGTTATTAATTATATTATAGTATGATATTGTTGAATGGGAAATTATAACTAACAGTTATATTACTGTTAGTTGTACGCTGAAGCGAATAAAATATTCTATTCTATTACTGTTAGTTGATGTTCGCTGAGAATTTAGAACATTAACAATATATTGAAATCTTCAATTAGAAATAAATTAGCTTCAATCTATTCCCATTTCGTTTTGTAGGCTACTCTTTTACTAGCGGTAGCAATGGGTACGATTACAGTAACACCGTTACTAGTAATGGATACTTGGGATCTAAGGATAGCTATCGAAACGGTGGAAGCTTTTACGGTGCTTTTACTGGAGACATCAATCACAAATTACCCAATCATGTCGGCGCTCACTCGTTAATTAACATCGGTAATCAGGGACATCAAAGTAGTATCGGAGGAAATGACGTAGGAAACAGTTACAATGGATATTCCGCGAACGATCAAGGAAATGAATATGCAGGATATTCCAATACTTATGAGAATTCTGCTAGTGAACCTTACACTAAACCCACTTATCCAACGTCTGCACCACTCAGAGGACATATTGACGCTAATAATAACGGGGAATCGATTTTTAATGTGTACGCAAGCGATTCGACTCACAAAGACTCTGATTTTGGTCAATACGCGGCTACTAGTAGCAGCAGCAGCAGCAGCAGCAGCAGCAGCGGCAGCAGCGGCAGCAGCAGCGGCAGCAGCAGCAGCAGTAGCAGTAGCAATAAAAGAATACCCGCTTATTCCGGATATTCCAGGCCAACCCGGATATCAGACAATTATCCTGAAAGTTCTACTGATAACGGCATACAGGGATATCTCGATTCGTCTGGCTCTTCAAGCTATTCCGAAAGTGATCACATCTACTCGCCTTATTCGCCAGGCGGTCTGACTAGCGAGTACTCGTTTGGAAAGCAGAAAAACGACCCGTTGAACTTGAAAGGAGGCAACAAGCACAACGGCGGCATTTACTTGATTCCATCCGGGACGCGTTACACGCGGGGAAATCCTGGGCACGTGAGCTTCAATCGCGACGTACCGTCGTTCATATCTGGAGATTCCGGGTTGAGCAGTCACTTTTCCCAGGCACACGGTACCTATTCTTCGGGAAAATTGAATAAATACGGCTACAAATTATCTCGTTATACTCCGAATAGCAGCGTAACTTATGTGTCGAGAGAACGCGATGGCTATTACACGCCTTATGGCAAGGGTGGTGGGAAAGTTATTATAATTAAGAACAATAAACCAAATTACACTGGTCGTGTTTACTCCGAGGATCCGCTTTATGCTGGCAGCAACGGTGGTTACAGGAGTAAGAGTGGTTTTGTAAATGGTTTCTCTGCTTCGTCGAATTTTGATGGATACACTGGCAGTAGTAATTACAATGACGGTCCCACTGTACCCAGACGATACAGGATGGTCAATCCTGTATTTGTGCAAAAAAAGTCTGCAACTTTTATTTAACAACATCCTTAATTAACTTTTGATTTAAGATCATATTTAGAGAATAAAATAAACATTAATATTTAAGATATTTGTATATATATATATTTATTTTATAAGTATGTTATAAGGATTTTTTCAATGCATTATTCAGAATAAAAGTATCTGTACATCTTTCGTAAATATCCAAATGGTTATTTATATTTTTATATTTCCTATTCAATTTCTTATATAAGATAAATACTTCAGGAAGTTTATAAGTACTATGTCATATATTTAATATTAATGAATAAGTGTTCTTGATATGTTTTGTTTGCCAAGACTCCTTCTCCTGTGTCTTTTCTTTTCATAGAACCAATTAATTAATATAAAAGGCAAATATTTAGCAAGTTCCTTAGTATAAATTATAATATCTATTTAATATTATTAATCAACTTATATAAAGCAAATAAACACATATAAAATCTATATGTATTTATTTTAAATAAATATTTGAAAATCACATTTGTCCATTATTTATGATAAATATACGTAAGAATTGATATAACAAAAATATTATAACACACATATCCAATCCTACAATTTTGACATAATAAAATTATATAATAATTTAACATCTAACTTTTCGATGATATATTCATGGAGGAGTCCTTGATAATTTAGGCTTAGCTAAAAATGCCTCTTCTTCTTTAGCAAGTTCTGGATCATTTTTCCATGAAATATCGTTAATTATATTGTTGTTACAGTTATTACTATTCCTATAAATAATGCTATTACTAAATAGATTTATAATAGGTGCGAATAAGCAGAAGCATTTTTTAACAAATAATAAATCTAATATAATTTATTTAATATCATTTATAAAAATACATAAATTGCTATATAATAGAAATGATAACGTTATATATACAAAACATATAAATAATACAAAGCACATGCTTGAAAAATAAATATTCAAAAGCTGTGAGAGGTGCACAACAGCAATGATTGCATAAAATATTACTCACAGCGATGCTATACTACTGAATTTCTCTTGAATTTCTGTAAAAATCAGATTAAAAAATTTTACTAAAATTATAATTAATATATAATACAAAAATTTTTTATTTTTCTCTAATTATTTTTCTTCATCTCTTAATGTATATAACATAAATTTACAGGAAAAATGTGGATTAAATTCATAACAAATGTCATGATGTATTCTAAATTATCGTTTCAAACGACAGGAGGTGTTTTTTCAATAGTTCTAACAATTTTGAAATGTGTCATCTAACTGGTTAATATTTATCTGAGTTTCTATCACTTTCGTTACGTGCTCCAATTTTCTCAAGGTTCTGCGTATATAGGGAAAGTTGTAAAGCTTTCACTGAATGTTGTTTGTGAATTATTCTCTTAATGTGCCAAGTTCGTAATTTTGAAGTCAGTTTCAAACGACAATAGGAATATACTGAATATGCTACTATTCAAACAATAGTTAATAATGTGAAGTATACATACCCGCTTGGCCATTTTCACGACCGGGTACAAGAACTGTAGAAGATGTTACTGCAGTTTCACTGCTATCCCTGTAAATTGATATCTGTTAACTAATGAATTATAGAAATAACTACACATAAAAATTTAATTGCAAGATTAATTACGAAATAAGTTTAACACTAACGACTATATTATATATTTTACTTAATTATTTTTGCGTGCAATGCACGCGTTTAAATTATACTTCAATTAATTATTCTTTGATTAATAACGCACTTGGAAGTCCGATTTTTATATAAATATATTGTATCGTTGGGTATTGTTCTTTCAGTGAAATTTCGCTTAAAAGATTTCATCGTTTCTAAAGATAATTTTTCTAATTTTGTTTTTCTGAATTTCTCGTCATACAATTTTCTTGTATTTATCTTATCCTCTAATCTACATAACTTGGACTGATATTGTATATTATTATTTATTCTAAATCTTGAATTTACTTCTGTTCTAAATTGTTTATCGTAATCAAATTCATAACGATTGTTCTTTCTGATTGCATTTGCTGGCCAAATTATATTTTTTAATACAGTTATATTTTTCTCTTGTTTTTTACATGGTTGGTTATTATATCTCATAATTAAGGAAGATTCGGTATCGACGATCTTTTTTGCAATGTTTTGAACTTTATGTGTAGAAAACGATTTTTTCGTGCCGTTTGTGACAATTTGTTGTTCCTTAAAAGTGTTATCGACATTATCACATAAATAAAAAAGTAGAAATTAAGTCAATATCGTAAATCTATTTTAGATATTATACCTTCAAAGAGAAATTGGACAAATCTGACAGTTTAGTAAAGATTGCTTGTTTAGTATAACTTTCTTTCGGTAATATTTCTTTTTCCACTTTGATATTATACCTATCATATATATTATTATTATATAATATTAAATTAGCAGTTAGGCATACGTAATTTCTATATAATGATATATTGTTAAACATAAGTCAAGACCAATTTGGCCGTTTTCTATATGTAAAAAGAGTAGCTATAATATTAGGTTTTGTATATGTATATGTAAGTACCTTAGCGTATGATATGATGGATGTTTATTACAGACGTGGTTCTTGTGTTGATTGCCATAAAAATCGATAGAATTCAGCGTAGATATTTGCTGTAAAGTCGTATCCGTGTTTACAGTATCTTGAGAAATTTTCGAAGAAACGCTGTAACACATTGCAAGCAATGTTTCTCCGTTCAATTCGCCAATATAATTTTGCAATGGATCGTTTTCGTCTAATTCACTTTCCAACACATCCAAGTCTTCCTATGAAAATGTTAGATGTCCAAATTTATTCGGTATTCGGTATCATCGATATTCATATAGTATTTTCGTATTTGCATTTCTTACTTACGTTATCATCATCCCCTGTCTCGTCATTCTGCGGTGTGTTAACATTTTCACATCTTTGTATCCTCAGTACATGATCTAGATGCTTTCTATTATACCAAAATTATTATCATTTAAGAGATAGAAAAAGTTTTATTATTTTTTTAATCGTTTTTACGAATATGAATGTTCTAAATATCAAAGTAAAAATTCGCAATTTCGATAAAAATATAAATTATAAATCTACTAAATATAAGAACTGGAAAAGATACGGGCAGTAGGAGTCAAGAGCGCAAAAGACGTCGCGCAAATAATATATCTATGAAGTGTGAAACTTCTTTATTCACTAAAACGCGCTTACATGTTTCGGCTCACTTTTGCCTTCCTCAGAGACAACACAAAATAACATAAATAAACTGTGAATAAAAATTATTCTGTCGTCAGTGTTGTTCATACGCAGTAATGAGTCTTTCTGGCGTGATTTTTGATTACTTTCCAACTTTCATTTTCATGAAATTGATTAGCGTTTTAATGTTAAATTTTTCCATTTGTAATCTTGAATAATACTTCTTCTTGAATCTAGTTAAAACTAAAAGTGACTTACTGTGTCTGATACTGACTGGCCAAAATATCACGAACCGGTTTTTGAATAATTCATAATAGTAATGTTTGCGATATAGTTTGTGATTTGCGATCAGGATGAGTCTTTATTTTCGGGATAATCAATAATAATCTTAAAGTTTTTTGATAAATTAGTTTTCATATTTTCCATTATTTCTTTATTTTTGTTCATTTTTCTTTTTTCTTTTTCTTTTTGGGTTTAATTCTGGCATTTAAATTCTCGAGGTAGGGAAGCTCACCATGACAGGATAATTTTTATTTACAGTTTATTTATGTTAGTTTGTATTGTCTCTGAGAAGGACTCAAAAGTGAGCCGAAACATGTGCGTTTTAGTGAAAAAAAAAATTTCACACTTCATAGATATATTATTTGCGCGACGTCTTCTGCGCTCTTGACTTTTATTACCCGTATCCTTTCCAGTTCTTTAATTTATGAGTCTTGGTTAGTTTGATTTGTTGTACGGATCTACTAAATATACATTTATAATATATTATTTTATATATTTAAAAAAAATGTGGAAATTACTATCCTTAGAATTAGAACTTTCATTTTATGTGAATATTTTATTTTATGTAAATATATACCTTATTTCCGTAGATTTCTGATTATTACCAAGATATTCCGATATATTCGAACGCTTAATTTTTCTTGCTTCCTCATTGATTACGGGATTATTCAAAAAATTGTTTAGCGCTCCATTGATGTACGGTAATGACTAATAAATGATACGAAAAATTCCTTTAAAGATATCTCTTTTGTATTAAATTTTTGAAATAAAATTTTTCTTTTCTGAAATAATTTTATTAAATGCGTAACTTTACTCACAGATGTATGATCTATTGAGAGAAGAACGATCAAAGTAGACATGAGTAATGAAGATATTTTGGACGCTCTGGCTTGTGCTAACCGATGTAACGACAAATTCATTAAAAGTGCAGTAGCGTATTCGAGCCTATATAAACTTATGATGCGACATTTATCGTGTAGATGATTAATCAACCATTCCAACAGTCCACTCTCTATCATATATATTCGTTGCTGTCTACGTAAAGATAGTTTTTGTAACATCGCCACCATCATGTCACAAGCAAAAGGATCCACTCCGTCAGCGTAATTATTGTCGAGACAAGCAAAGGTCTGAATATCGAGATGATTGCAATTTTTATTAATGCTATTCAATTTTACGATCATTTTATGAATTTTTGATAAATATATTAAAACTCATTGGTTTTGATGTTCTAAATCTAAATGATTAAATAGATAAAAAAAGAACAGTATGTCCCAGTCGACAAAAAGTAACGTAATATCTATGTATAATTTCGTATTTAATAATGAAACTGTTATGTAACATCTGTTATGTATTATATGATAAGATAATATAGAGCAGTATTCATAGTCGGAACTTATATTTAAGATCGTCTTAAGTACAGTCTTAAGTCATAAGGTAATCACAAAGCCACATATTAGTATCTTAAGACATTACCTAAGACAATCTTAAAATAAGAACGAACTATGAATACCGGCTACAGACATTATGTTACTTTTAATTAGTAATTGGGTGATTATACTGTTAATTTATGTAAAAACATACCACGTTTATAACAGAGGATCCAACCGATAGGTAATCTCTTCCGCATCTGAAGGATGCCAAGGTGTTTAACAATCGCGCAGTGAATTGTTGCAAAAGATGCCTGGCATAAGCTTCTCCCGCTGTCAACAGACACGGTAGAATCGACTTGCCGTTGTCGCTAGCAATCTGTCCGTGAAGTCCCAACAAATCACGACTTATATATTCGTGTAGGATTTCATCCTGTTCTGCTGATTGCACGAGCGTTATTTTCTAAAAATATAGATGTGCTTTTTTTTTAAAGATTATTGATATTACACTATTGTATTACACTATTGTAAAGCTATTAATCATCTTAATACCCAACGCAATGCTTGTAACAGCAACAACTTTGTCTTTACATCTCCGTTAATTAGATGTAATTTGATCTTTTTATAATCTAATAATTTGGGAGATATCGGTACTGCTGTGACATCAAGTTTAGGCAGTGTAATTGCTTTTACATCAATACGGTCGAGTTGTAACAAGGACGGCTATCGAAAAAGCCATACATTAAAAATGAAAAGTTTATAGAAAAGTTTTAGAAGAATATACGAGCTCTTTCTTTTTTCTCCCTTTTTTACTTACATACGAAGTCTCTCTTATATTTTGATTAAATAAATCTGGAAATATCTTCATACAAATCTCGAGTGTTCGTTGTATATCAACATCTTGCCCTTTCACTGAATTTTCCAATGCCATCGTTAATTCCCCGGCAACATCTATTAGTTTATGATAATCCGCGTGCAACTTGTGAAATCTCATTTTTAGTTTTTCATAATTTGTATGTATACTACACAAATGAGATTTGGTTACTACTAATTCACGATTATATTGAATCAATCTTTTGTCTGACTTGTGCATTTTCAACAACCTGCTAACACTTTCTTCCGGATTTATTATATCTTCTGGCAAATTATTCATTGTAATTTGACTTCCAGTAATATGCGTTTGTGTGCTTCTGTAAGTGATAATATACGAATCAGATATTTTCTAATTTTTTTATTAAAAAATATCAGAGGAAAGACATTTTACTTTGATTTTAAATTTGTTTTATTAGAAAAACAATACTGCTCCTCGTCGTGATCTAGAAATATAGGTAAATCTCTGTCATTTGGCACAATCGGTATATTATTTTTTATCTTTTTAGTCTTATTTTGTGCAACATCTGATTCCATAACTATTGTTTTTGTTGCTGGCATGGTTGTATGAACTTGTACTAAATTCTGCAATTGCGTTTTATTGGAGTTTATATTGTCTAAATTGCTCAAATTTTACAAATTCAATATTATTTATAATTTTTGTACAATATTTTTTTGTATTATACATATATAAATATACAGTTCAAGTTTGCTTACTTGTCTGTGACGTGTGATAAACGAATGTAGATTTTTTAATAGCTCATCGGCCCAATGTTGTTCTAACATTTTAGAGAAATAAGTATTTGTATACAGATCTTCTATAAACGGTAATGCATAAAATGGCTGTAATTCTGTATCATATTCTAATTCTTTGCCATCTCCGTCCAAATAATCTTGTAATTGCTTCATACTGCTGTTTATATTTTGTTCAATTTCAACGGCATTGTTCTGTTTATTATTAATAATATTCTTAGACTAATTAAATTATCGGAAGTATTTTATGTATAAAAAAAGTATTAATATAATTAAATATTTTATCATATAAATTATCATATTAAACTTAAACATTTAAAAATAATAAGAAAATATATAAAAAAACTATATACACAGAAGATAATTTCTCCATTAAAAAAAATTCAAATTACCTCTTTGCACTTTTCCAAAAGATCATTTTCTATTGAAGACAATTTCAGTGTATTTGTTTCTGATGGTAGATCTAATCCATAACAAAAATTTTTTAACAATGTTGAATAATAAATCAAATTATGTATAATACTAATATACTATTGCATATGAATAATAATACCATTATCTGTTTTACCATATTTTTTATATTGATTGGTATGTAATTTACGTTTAGGTAGTACAGCAAAGTATACGTGCAAATAAAATGTTAATTTTTTGTATTCTTCACATTGTTTAATACTACTGGAGAACAAGTTATTCCACAACTAGAAAGAAAGAAATATACCACAGTATATGTAGGTATTCAATGTTGATCATAAGTATTTTTTTACTTGAAAAAACGTTGAATAATCTCCAGTATTGTAGCATTGTATTAGTTGAACATAAGGATCTGTTACTTCTCCTAATTTATATTCCAAAGTTTGAAAACCCATTTTTGAAGCTTCTTGAATTAAAGCTTCAGCAGTACTTTCAAAATTATGATCCAAAAGAAACTGCGAATCGTTTTTTAATACAAATTAAAAAAATATACAAATCAGTCTAAATATGATCTTAAAGTTATTGCATTAAATGTTAAATATTATTAATTATACCTTATGGATTGCTTCAATGTTTTTATCAGCCATTTGATTCTTTGTAGACACAACTCAGTAATTATATATGTACCTTATTCTGCCTAAAAGTATCATCATTATGAAGAGACTACTGTAAAACTTTACAATCAAATAATTACATATTAATCTAAGAACTTCCAATTAAAATAAAAAAAAGTTAAAAGTTTCTAGGGTAAATGAGAATTAGATGGGTTAAGTGCAGTTAATAACTAAGAAGCACATTGAGTCTATTTTTACTTAGAAATAAATTACACTTTGTAGTTTATTGTAAATAATATCCAATTGTAATTTATATTTCCAAATAAGAATAAACTTAATATATGTACGCTTTATTATTAACTATGCATTCTCATTTGTCCTAGAAATTCTTATCTTTATTTCTTTAATATGAATTGTAAATGGCTTTTGTGTAATTTTTTATATATTTTATGTAAACACAACTTAAATAATCCATTTAATTAATATCAAAATGAAGATGCTTAAATCATCATTTAATTAATATGTAGCTTAGTTTACTTACCCCACTGACATTCAATTATTGTTCAATTTATTCTCGCACACGTAACTCAGCAGGTATTTTTCTGATAAACTCATGCCGCGGAGAGCGTGTCAGTTTAGGTTCATTAATCGATTTTATGCAAATACACTATTGATCAGTACTCGAGCAACAGCAGCAATATATATTTCGCGATTGCCGCAGCAGAGCTCCATTTTTTACTATCAAAATTCGCGCTTGTTAAACGTTGTCACAAGTGATTTCTGTATCACGACGTTTCGATATTCGCGTAACGGAGTTAGTAATTTGCCATCGCCATGTGATCCGCGGAAGAAAACAAACGTTTGACGTTTACACCTGCGTACCTACGACCAAGGAGACTTCTGCTAGTTCTACAAATTGTCAAGTTTCGTCATTTTCCCTCGCACGCATGCGCACGTGTGCACGCGGCCCTCGACTGTCATAGCTGTTTACATTATCGTTCAATGACACTTATCGATCCGTGATAGCATATTTCATGGAATATAGCTGGTATATTATTACCATCGAGAAAAGTTATAAAAATGACGGAAGAACAGAGTTCCTTGTTGCACAACGCTATTATCTCAGAGGTTTTCTTTCATTTGTTAATTCCTACATTTAACTCAGAGGTTATATTTCATTAAGAATTGCAAATCACAGATACCTAACACTGCGTGTTACATACCGAATTTTATTACTGAGGAAGAAGAGAGGCAAATCATAAAATGCGTAAACAGTGTACCGCAACCAAAATGGACACAATTAAGCCACCGTAGATTACAGAATTGGGGTGGTATACCACATCCCAAAGGGATGATAGCGGAAGCGATTCCTGATGTAGATAGAATGTGAAATATCTTAACAATTATAGTCTGGGTCTAAAATGAGTAGTTTTAAAAGTTAGCTGCTGGTCAACTGTATCGATTCAACGATTTCAATCAATCCTAGCTCATTGACTCTCCTTTAGACTTGTTTCTGACTCAACAACTATAAACTACTGACTCATTGTAGACCCAGTCTTAGAATTTATTTAGAAATGAAAAAAGGCTAAAAGCTTCTGTATATTTGTTATAAGTATTTTAAAATTATTAAATGAATGCATTAAACATTGATAAATTATATTTTAGTGGCTTCAGAAATATATTGATAAAGTGATAGCTTTGAATGTCTTTGAAAAAGAAGTATTGCCTAATCACGTTTTAATTAACGAATATTTAACTGGACAAGGAATAATGGTATGTCAGAGATGAAAGACAAAGATATACTATATTGCATATTTTTCTTTATTATAAAGTATAGATTAAACAAACAAATTAAATAAAAGACAGGGCTGTAGGAGTCAGCGCCAAGTTTTTTATTTAACTTGTTTTGAATTTCGAGAATTTTTTTATACTAATATAAATTATATTTATCTACATTAAAATAGAAAAAATACAAAAGTATGTACACAATAGAGTAGCATATACTGAATACTAACATAATGCCTTCATTAGGCACACTCGGATGGTCCACTTTTTTATCCTGTTGTAACTACTATCAGTTGTGGTTCTCATACAATCCTTGACTTTTACAAACGACTTGAAACGACAGAGGTAGATACTGAAACATAATAAAGAAAATTGCTACATAAAAATGTGTGTGCTATGTAATTGTACTTAATGCGATTTATATTATTTTTACAGCAACAACAATGCAAGTTAGAATTTAGTTTACTACTAGAACGCAGAAGTCTGTTAATTCTACAGAAGGATTTGTACTATAATTATTTACATTCTATAGCAGAAAGAGATGCAGATAGCATATCAGAATCTTCGATAAAGAATCTACATATGTGTGCAAAAAAGTTTACAGAAGAGGAAATAAAACGTGATACTAGAGTGTCTTTAACTATTAGGCACGTGCCGAAAACTAGCAAATTAAAATTAAAAATTTTTTGATATATATGTACATCATTAAAATTTGGAAGACATATAATTATAATAAATAATAAATGTTGTCGTATATTATGTTTTATGACTGTCGTTCATTCTAATTTATATGAAGTACACTTACTTTATGAATTATCACATGATATTTGCATATCAGTGTTGTTTGTGTCATTCTCAAGGCTCACATTACTTCCTCCATTACTTCCTCATCACCCTCGTCTAACATTCCTTGTAGAGAGTGTATGGAGGATATTAAAACATGGAATTGTTTACGACGCATTTCTAACTTGTGCTCCAACTGTTCTGATTTTTCCTGTATATGAAAAATGATTATAAGACATAACTAATCTTTTGCAAGTATTCCAGTGAGCTCTAAACATACTGATATGCTTACAAAAGAATAGATAATTGGAATAAGGAATAATAGATTTCAGTCTATTATAGAAATTGTATGTATTCTGATACATGATTTCTAGTAGATTAAAATATGTTATTCCCTGTGCTTGTCAATCAATCATGGTTCAGTGTTTGTAGAGACACTGAAATTATTCCAAATGGAAAAAATTATATGTGCCAATATATATATATATTTTTTTTTTTTCAAACCTTTAAAGCGCCTAATTCTTGTTGCAATGTCTCAAGCTTGATGTGTGTTTCCAAACGATCTGGTTGTTCATTAATGACTTTGGCTAGTACATCATACTCTATTCTATTTTTTCTCACACGTTTGGCATCTTGTAGTTCAGCTTTAGTTTTCTCAATGTCTTCCTTCGCCTTCTCTATTTGTACTTCAATTTCCTTTGACAGCTCCTCGTAGCTTTTTAATTCTTCTCGACTCATGTTTGAAACTAATCTGGATTTTTTCTGTGCAAATTCGCATTGTGCTAATTGCGACAGCATTCTTTCGTGCAGCGTATTGTCCACATCGGAACTGTTGATCCATTTTATAAATGATTTCAATAGCATATTAATTCTACGATCGTCTCCTGTTCCATCACCGTCTATGAGTAGTCGCCGACGTATGACTTCTTCTAAAATTTTTTATAAATAAAAAATATATACGTTTTACATATATACATTACGTTTATATAATATACATTTTATTGAAAGAAAAATGCATATAACCTTTTATTATACAAGTACTATTTGTAATTACTTATAGCAGTAAATATTGTAAACATATTACTAAAAAAAAGCTTACCATCGTTAGACATTGTTAGATATATATTTGTAACAGTTGTAACTAAAAAATATTACAATTTATACTAAAAAGAAATTTAAGATCCTTAATCGAGACTGAGACTGACTGCAACTAACTGAGTGCAGAGTGTAGATCGTGCAGGTGCAAGCATGAGACCTGTTCTTTTTGGCTAAATTTTTGCACCAGTTCTTTCTTTCTTTTCTCCAGGAGCAAAAGTTCAGTCAAAAAGAACAGGCCTATGGTGAAATGTTGCGTATAATGGCGATAGCATACTGGAAACAGCCAACCAAATTTGGGTCCAAATTCACTCTTTTATTGTGCATTGGCGGGAACGTTTCATCTCTTATTACATCATGGGTGCAAGTATGTACAAGTTAGAAAAAATATTAGCACAAAAAATAAAAGAAAAATTTATTCTTTAAATATTAGAATTATTATAAATTAGACATAAAATAATGTAAATTTATTGAAAGTGCTTTTATATTTATATTCTTAAAATTAATATTTGTAAAAAAATGTCTAAAAAAAATAAAGAGATTATTGCATTTAATAAATATAATAATAATTGAATTTGAATATTATAATAAATAATTTTATGCAATCTGTATATAACGATTTTCAAACATTTCATTTATCTTGTAAATATAAACGATTGCCGTTATTTAAACGAGTTAATTGTACATGAAAATAATAACGTATTTTTTAGACATTGTAAATGTAGTTCAGGTTTTTCAAATAAATATGGAATTTTTTGTTTTCATAATATTATATTTTTTTACCTTTTCTCTCTCACTCTCTTTATAACTACATACGGGACGACGATAATACGCCTGCATAGTACGCAATTTGTATTATATTGTATTAAATACACTTTACATTTCGTATCACTATTATTATAAGAAATGGTGTAACACTCGCAAATATATAATATTTCGTCTTCCTCATCACAAAAATATGTCTATCTCTGGTATCTAATACATTACGATTGGTCCCACATGTGGGTTTTCAAATATATAATATTTGCAACATATATTATGACATCTACAACTTAAACATTATACCCTTCTGGTAGTTTTAACATTTCTGTTGATACCTTTTAACTTAAAAGAAGAAAAAAGAAAAAGATACTCTCCGAAAACAGAAGTCATCCTACTCTGTTCTTAAAGTCAGGTACATCTCAAATAAACCCGGTAGTAGTTATCTCTTTCTCTTTTACGGAATTGTAATTTTTCAATATTATACAAAACGTCATTGTATTCGTTGACACTCTCAGAGTTCTTTAACACATCAAATTCATCATTCGGTATACTATACAGTTAGAAACAAAGTTCATTAATATTAAAGCAGAAACTAACGTTGAGTATAAAATGCTATGTTAAACTAGGCGTATATTTGTTTTTTTCAATGTAATTGAAAATTTTCATCATTCAACTGTCATGTCTTTTGAAAGATGTTTTTTTTCACAAAATATTAATAAATACAAAAATAAGTAGTACGTATTATTGTATAATAAGTATTACATATTATTGTATTAATTTTAAAGTAAAAGAATTATTATGAAATAAATATTTATCTAACGTCAATAATAATCTCTCAATGATTGTCAACAAATATTCCATAATTTAAAGAATTTAATATATGCAAATGAGAGATACATTCGCATATTTGTACAAAGATCCATCAATAAAGTCATAAATCAAATAATTCGCGATTATCTAAATTCAATATCAAAAGTTTATTGATGAAAATATAAATTTTAATTTTTATATTTATATTTTTGACTCTTTGATATGACTTTTGATTTTTTTACTTATTTATATGTAGGAATATATTTTAATTATAATCACTGATCGATTTCTATCGGGAATATTGGAAAATTTGCTGTATATTCATTTACGCGTTTTTTTTAATCATTTGCTATCAGTTCAATATTAAAACTGCACACAAATTGAATGGAATTAATATAATACTTCCCAAAAGAAGATAAATAAATTACTATGTACTGTGTTTAACGAACGTAACCATGTATTTAAATCTCCGATAAAATAATCAAGGAACTTTGTCGATCGTTTTACGAGAAAGATTGTTTTTTTTTGCATCACGTTTAGATACATCTTGTATGAAAGGTCGTATATTGTATCTATATATAAATGCGCTTTGTAAGACTCCTGGAAACTGTGTTACGTCTGAGAGGGTTTTTTGCGTCTACCGAATAGATTGCTCAATACGGAACTTCGTTTGTAATCTTTCCGATTACCACCCGAACTTTGCTCACTTTCTGATCCACTCTCTGATGCTCTTCTAGTGTCCATTACTGCGATGCTTGGAGGCGTCTGTGGAGCTGCTGGTGGCGCGACATAAGGCGGTAACGATGTCGGTCTACCAGTGTAAGCATTGTTTTGTTGCTGCACACCCTGTAAAAGAATATGAATCATCATTTGGGCTTATAAACGAAAGATAGTGAAATTTATAAATTTGCAATGACACTGAGAAATCGTTATGATTATTGTAACAGCCTTTTTAAATTTAGATATAATATATTGAGTTTGAGTAATATTCTAAAATATACATTTTACAAAAAGAAATTACAAATATAATAGTAGTTACAGTTTCATAAAGTTCGTAAAGTAAATAAAAAATATGTAAGTTTTTTTTCTTTAATTTAAAAAAAAAACAAAAAAAGAATTTAACTTAATTTATTTAATATGAATTTGAAAAGTAGAAACTTACCTGCCTAATGTTTGGTACATTCCCATACGCTGTAACAGATAAAAAATACAATTAAAACATTTTCATTCCGTTAAATTGAGGTCACAAGTTGATGCATTATTTAATTAGAAAATTCTGCTAAAATAATTTTTTGTTATTATACCATAAACAGCTATTTACAATTGTTATTATCAATCATATAAATTGCAGAGTTAGAAAATCAAAGTGCAGATATATTGGCAAAATGCGACATTAAATTAAAATTTTTGAAGTGCTTATAAACACAAATAACGGAAATCTGTTAGTATTAATCTTTTGAGATATGACTGTGTTTCAGTTAAAAGTTTAGATACATATGTAAATATTATAATTGATTCACATTGCTTTAGCATTTTACATCCCTTGCCAAGCAATTTGCCAAATGCAGAAAAATTTTCGATAAGATGCGGATGTAGATGAGTGATGAAAGTAAAAGTATTATGTGTATAAATGCAGAATGAATGCATGCGATGTCTTCACATCGATCTCCTTTTATCGAATGTGATTGTTTTATAATGACTGACCAGAATCATGAGGAATATTCCACTGAACCATTCTAGTCGGCGGAGGAGCACTCGATGGCAATGGAGGTGCTAATTCTATAAAATGACGATGAACGTTCACGAATATCGACAAATATCGAATAGAATTTTCCTAAACCTTTTGAATCTTTTAATTTATATACAATAATGACGTACCTTGATGTTGTAGAGGAAGATCGACACTGTTTTGTCGGTGCCATACTGGTTGCTCGTTCGATGAATACTGGCTGGAACCATTGTGATTTAATGTTGCGCTTCGTTGTTGATAGACATTAGGCCTTCCTTGTGGTAAATGATGTTCTATATCTGTGTACATATAATAACATAATAAACTTTACATAAAAAAATATTAAATTATAGATTATAATATTTGAATGCTTGGAAAAATTATTGAATACAAGATGTGAATACAATGTAAAATACATTTTATCTAAAAAAGCATACCATTTCGTCTGTATTGCACCATATTTTCCGAGCTGGAACGCATAGGGATAGGTGGAGGAGCTCCTCGCGGCGGTATAGGTGGTTTGTCAGTTCCCAGCATCGCGGAATTCTGTTGATATTGATCCCGCTGAGCCGCCAGTTGCTCTTGCTGTATCAACTGATGCTGCTGCTGTTGTTGCTGCTGCGCGAGTAGCTGTTGCCTGTGCATCTGCAGAAATTCCGTTTGAGTCTGTGGTTGGTCGGATCTCTGTGACGCCAAGAACGTCTCGGAGTTTTGCGCGTCGTTACGCCGTTGCTGATTATGCCGGTGCATCTGCAGGAACTCTATTTGTACCGAGCTGGGTGAGTGTTGATTTGGTGAAATGGGATCGCGCCTAATCACAGAGTTCTTGCGTTCCATCTCCGGTGTGGAAGCGCGGCTACTTCCGGTTGACGCGTTGTCATCCGCATGTTCGAGCTTCGAACCCTGTAACCTTTGGAAGCCTTCTTGCTGCATCTGAATTTGAAAAATAGAAGTTTACCTTTTATAGTTCAAATTTTGTAGGATATTGAAATAAAGTATATGAAAGATTAAAGGATTAAAAGATTGAATAAATAATAATATTTCCTAAAAAGAGAGTTTATAGAAATTGTAAAAATATAATGATTTTATTGTAAACCTTTTGAGACTCGTCGTAGCTTAAGAGCTGCATACTTGGCGGTAATTTTGCATGAAACGAGATCTTATTAACCCAGTCTTCCATCTCCCCTTGACTTGGTGCTAAAAACAAGAATTCCGAACCGTCCGTGCACTTCAATCGAAATACGTTTTTCTTCTTCGTGTAATCATCTGCTTTCTCGCATATAGCATTGAAAATTGTTATCGGGGCAGTGGCCGCTTTGCTTAACGCAAAATCATCTGTATCCTTGAAGAAGCATAGCAGTTGTCCGCACAATACTGAAATGATTGTAAAATAAGAATAAGTTTAAAGAATAAGGAAACACTTTACATTTATTTAATGAAGTACCAGTGTAATACTGCTTCCACGATCGAACGGCTGCCTTTTTGCCAGCACTTTGAAGCTCGTGCTTTCGTTCAAGAAGACCTTGAATCTCGACTGGTCGCAGGGCGTCCATGTTCTCCATTCGTTGCAGTTTTCGGAAGCTTTGCGTTCTTCGTCTGGTTGTGAAGCTCGGAGTTCGTTTTGGTTTTTTCGTATCCACTTTCATACTTTCGGCCCTCTTAATATCCGAAGTTGCTGAAAAAATTTGTGTATGGTATAATCAATCATAAAATCTT